GCATGTAATTATGTGGGCATACAGAGAGAACAATTATCTGGACCTGTCTTGAATGCTGAACTTTCTGAGCAATGAGAAAGGACAAATATGGGCAAGAGCCAGGCAGAGCAAACAATGTGACCAGGCTGCCACGAGACTTGTATACGATGTATATACTTAACAAAGCCTCCAAAATCTACCTGACATTACTACAAATAATTCTTGATTGTTGATGCCAAAGTATATTTACGACCACAGAGCAATTCAGGGTTGTGTTTAGTGTATGCTTGTCCCAGAAAGGTCGGGAGAGAAAGGACAGTTTCAAAAGCTCAAAAGATTAATCATCGGGACTTTAATAAATTGTCTTTGATTTTTTTAGTGAAAGGAATGTTCCTGGTATTCTCCTGACCCAGTAAGCCAACCAGGAACTCAGTTCCCCTAGTTCGTTATTGTTGCATAACAACAAAACTCAGTGGCTTTTAAACATCTGTGCGTCATCTGACTGACAGCTGACGTAGACTGGGTTTGGGTGATCTTGGGGCTTGCTTCTGTGCTTGTGAGTTAGCTAGGAAGCCTGCTCTGCCAGGGCTGGTCAGAGGCACCTAACATGGTACAGATCTGTTCCAGGTATCCCCAACCTTCTCTAGCATGGGCAGGTTTGTCTCAGTTTCCACTCTCATGGTAATAACAGAAATTCAAGAGGACAAGAAAAAACATGGTAGGCCGCTTGAGGTCTAGACTTAGAACTAGAAAACTGTCATTCCACACACAATAGCGAGGTAAATCATAAGAATGAAACTATACTAAGGATGGGATAATATGCCCTGACCCTTTTGCAGGAAGAACTGTAAGGTTACATGCAAAAGGTATGAAGATAGTTAAGGGTAAAGAATTAGGGCAACTAATGCAATAAGTGGACCATGAAAGAAATGGGAAGTTTTTTCTACAAAGCATTTAGTTTTAGGAAGCACCTTCTGAGAGGAGATGAAAGGAAAGCTCCTATACTGTGGTATGACTGCAGTAGCTTCTCCTAAGAAAAAAATAAGAGCCAAGGACAAAATCAAAGGCTCTGTGAACTAATGCTGACATGCTTCATCACACGGAGTCATCTTTTAGCAAAAGCTCAGTCAACTGCAATTGTAAATATATGTGCTTTAAAGCTGAAAACTTAAGGTAATTTGGAGAATCAAATCGTAACTGAATAGCTTCCCATGCTCATCTGTTTGGAAACTTCTGCTGCTCCATTCTGGCCTTTCATGTCTAGAATCTTCTGATCCGTAGTCAGACGTGTTATCCATTGTGCCACTGGCCCACCTCAGGTCTTTCATTTCTAAAAGGAATGGAAACTGTTTTGGTACAAGCTATTTTACTCGTCTCCCAATCACATGATTTCACTATTGTATTTAAAACTTGGACAAAATCACTTTAAAGGAGAAATTAAGAAGCAGATTTCCCATTCCCAACCTTTATATACATACATATCCTACTTCAAAAAACAGTAAGAGTAGGGAATAATGGAACTGAACCAACACTCACTGCCCTCACTATGTTTCTCTTTGGTGCAATTCCAAGAGTCACAGGGTGATGATGCTAGGGAGGCATTGTAAATTCCACTCCATCTATGTTGCAGAAATCCCATGAAACAACATTAATATTAATTAATCAGCACAACTCTTAGACTTGAGTACTGATTCCATATACTATTACCAGTATACATATATATATACACATATATATGTGGTTATCCATATATCCATATATATATCCATATATATGTGTGTGTATCCATATATATATATACGCAATATATACACACATATATATTTATATACATATATACATATACACATATATATACATATACATATACATATATGTATATACACACAATATATATTCATATTTGTGTATATATATTTTGTGTGTATATACACACATATTAAGTATATATATACAAATAAATATATATAATAAAATGTATCCTGTGGTGATAGCTATAAAGTACATATCTGATATTTCAGTGATTTAATAAAGAAAATTAAACTCAAAAGGATAAAAGACTAATAAAGTCACCATAAGTATTTTTTGTAATTTTCAATTAAGAATATGGGGAAGGTGCTACCTTTTGTTTTTGTGGTATTGCCAATGTGACCAGAAATCTATTTTTCAAACAGCTTAAATGCAGCTACCATATATGAACAACAAAACTCTCTAAATTAAGAAAAGTCACAGAAGATTATTCCGGTAAATGAACCTGGAAGTGCTTTACAAAATTATCTTTCCTCTTGGAATCATATTCAACAATAGGTAATGTTTCTTTCTTAACACAAAGACTATTTTAAAACTATTGGCGGACAATGCTAATGAAACTAAGAACAAGGAACTTAGCAGTTATTACCCAGTGTATAAACCCAAATTTCTGAGCAAATTGGGTTTTTAGGAATGGTATAACTAGCATACAATAACTCTAATAATTAGGCATAAAATGTTTTTTAATAGAAATATGCCATTAAAATGGTTAACAAACCATTCTTGGGAGAGTGTGTGAAATCAATTTTCAAGCAGTTAACTACATCTTATTTCACTAATAATGTGTTTTTCACACTGATGAAATTTCAACGAATTGTATAGGAATGCCCAAATTTCAACTGTTATTTCTGTGGAAGTGAACATCTCAGCTGCATGTGAACATCTCAGATGCATGTGACTCAAGGCATCAATTTTAACTGCTAACTAACTGAGGCTCTATTTATTCTGGCCCACTTGGGAAAAGAAAATACTTATGAGATACTTATGAGAGAGCTGAAATTTTATTGTGATTATCTCACAAATAGTCAAACTTGAGTTGCTGTTAGTTTCTACAGACAAGATTTGTCAAATGCTGTACCTTTTGAAGGTTATAACTTTTGCTCTCTAATAAAACAAGTTTCCTCAAAGACTCAACTAGTTTATTTTTGAGGCTCTATGGTGTTTATGCCTTCATTTATTTATTGGTGATATGGATTTCATACAATTAGGTTTACCCATATAAGTTTCATTGCATCTAGTGGATGTAATATGTGCTTAGGACTTGTAATATAAATGCCTCCATGAAAATATAAATATTGTCACTCCAGAATTGCTTTTTTTTTTTGACATTTTGCAGCCCTTCAAACAATCATTTTACTGATAAGTGAATCCTATGTCCTCTCTTCCAGAAAAATGGGGTAAAATAAATTATACTGTATGTGCACTCTGTGTGCATGCATATGTCACCAGCAGATGTAACTATCTTTTTTCTTACTCAACTGTTTGACCATCACAAGGTAAAACCTTTCCAGAGGTAACTAATAAAAAGAGACAAGGCTGATAATTTGAGAATTGAATCTGCTTTTGCAGTCATATGCCTAAATGCTCATTTTCCAATGAATATTTTTGTATTTGAGAAGTATGTATAAAGAAAAATGAGAGAAGGGTAGGTTTGGGGAAGAAAAAGAGATTGGATTAGAATGAAGAGGATGAATAGACATGTGAAGACAGTGTACTGAAAAAAAAATGAGCTCCAGTTTTCTGACTTATGTTTCCCATATATTTTTTTATTAAGCTTAGATATGAAATGTGCATTGTAGGTTTAATGACGTACTTTTAATTGTTACAGTATGGTACATGCAAAGCCAAACCTACTGCACTGATTTTTTTAATAGTAGAGTTAGGTCTATTTGAATCCTTAGACATATAATAAAAAAACTAGCAGTTTATTAATATTTTCAAGACAGTTTTGACATACTTCTTATCGTGTAACTTTGAATATGGCTGGTCTTACTTATCAGGGGAAACAAGTAGGTTCAATGCAAACTTATCTTTTTGTAGCTTTCCCAAGCATAGGTGGAATATATTCTTGTAACAGGGAGGACTATGAAATACAGTGAATAGAATTTAGATTTCAGCATCTTGAGCATGGATCCTGGCTCAACCAAATCCAGTGTCTTTGGTTATAGACAAAGATATGTACATTGTCTTTATCTGTAAAATGAAGATGGCACCTTCCATGGTATTATGGTAACTGATTCAACTGAAATAATATAAAGCATGTGTACAATAGGCACCTCATATAAGACATTTAGTATATAATATACATGTCTAAAAATGTGATGTGATATATTAAATACATGTGTGTTTTAAACACATAATTGTATATAATAGGAATACATTGGACTACAGATCATGTCTAATAAAATGTCTAACAATACAAATACAGTTGAAAATTATGGAGTATTGACCAATTATTGATAATATGACTTGAACATGTTGGAATAGTCCTCTATGGATGGTATAATCAATTCATGCATTGATTAATATTTCCCAATTTTATATATAATATAAAAAGGACTTCTTTATTAAAAAAGTTTAGGAACTATAGTATCATGGGGTAAACATCACTTTTAGAACTAAATCTGGTTTGAGGCCCAGCTTATCAACTAAAAACCTAATGCATTTGAGAATTAAGGAACCTGTCTAAAACTTAGTTTTTAGCTGTTAAATGGGGAATATTTAATACTACTTATAACTATTAAGAATTAAATAAGATAATGAATGGATAATTCTACCATATAGTATGAGCTAAATACATATTAATTTCTTTCTCTGGCTTTGTATTTTTTTGAAGGGTAAGCATTCCTACGAACGTCCATGCCTAAGTAATTCCAAATAAGCTAAATGGTGTGTTAATGGTGGAAATGAAGAAACAGAAGCATCTCTTCCTAGTAAGTTCTTAGGACACTCATAAGGGACACCCACAATAAGTATAATCCTATGAATGAAGATAAAACACTCAGATTATAAAACCACTCACTGGTGAAATCTAGGATTAGCTCAGGTGGCCCAACTGACCCAGTAGGAAGCCATGAACAATTTCATTTTTCTGCATTCCCTCTCCAAAGAGATGGAGACTCACAATGAGTTTTTGGCTCTGATAAAGATGGCTGCTTTCTACATATGAACATCCACATTTAGACAAGAGGCAGACAGCTGTGAGAGATATGTGAAGACATATTTCAGTTTTATTATCTTTTAGGCATAGACGGGTATGTTAATCCATTTCCACATACAATTCCTGTAATCACAGATAGGGACTGAATCTTGAACTCACAAAACCTGTCTCCTGTTGCCAAAGAGTTAAATTGAGGACTGTGCATTATCTTCCTTCCGAAAATCGCTGTGCAAATGGCTGCCTTTACACAAATAAGCTTTTTCTTTTGATAAAGTTATTGATCAATGGTAATAATGTTTCCTTTTTCCAAGGCAGACTTTATGCTTTCCATCCAGAGCTCCGAGATTCCCATGTTCTGCTCTCTAGGTTCTGACAGCTGTTTTGGATTTAGTTAACCATAGTAAGTGGAAACCAAGAAATAACCGTAGTATAAACTTCTCTTCTATTGTCACATTTCTTTCTGCAAATATATCTTAGGAGTTAGACTTTGAACCTTTGATCTCCCACACCAAAAAAAAAAGGAAAAAAATATTTATATGGAAGTACTTTCATTTTAGTGTTCATGGTTTATTGTGGAAAGCAGGTATTTAAAAATTTTAGAATTTCTTTAACAAAATTCTAAAGAGAAAAGAAAAAAATAACAGTATTTACAAAGATAACAGAATGGCTTTGCCATGCAAAACAAGTAACTTTGGTTTTTCCCCTTTCACTTTGGTTTAAATATTGACCAAGATTAAATTTTTTTTCCTGCCAAATAAAACTTCAATAAATCAAAGTTTAGAGGCAAAATAATGCATTTTCTTTTTTCCCATAATATTTTATACAGCATTGAGTCTAATAGGATATTTTATATATTTAATTCATACCAATGTACTACAGGAAGCTTTTATTAAACTGAGGCACTATTGCCCAGACAGTAAACGGTTTACAAATGTACAATAACATGTGTTTCTAAATAATGCAGAAGTGGCTAAATATGATTCCTAATCTCCATCTGACTTTATCTTCAATTTGTTGTTCATTGCCTTCATGATTGTTTATTCTATCAGTCTATAAAACAAACACCAGTTTTCCTTTTCTTCTGAAAGAACACAGTTCTATGCTTGGAAATCTGATGTTCATTTTTTTCTATAAAATTATGTAAATCCTGGGACAAAAATGGCTGTGCAGTGTTCTCCCAGAAACCAGGCTTCTGCTTGAAAGAGCAAAGTTTAAAAGTCTAGTCACAAGTAGCTATTGGCCCATATCCAGTCTACTTCAAAAAGTTTCCATTTATACTACCACCCTAAAAAGTTCCTCAAGCATAAAACATGTTTTATAAAGTTACAAATTTGAATGTAACTAAAGATACATAGACATTTTATTATTACACTTTCATGTACTGCTTGATAAATTATGTACCAGTTAAAAACACTAAATTATCTCAAGGTGCATTCAATATCTGTAGCGTAGTTAACAAAAACACACACGAAAAAAATATATATTCTATATTCTGTGGAAAATAACTCAGCTTTGATAATGACCACTGTTAAAAATCTCCAATTCTGATTGATATCTTTTTTTTTAAAACAGGAAATAGGTATAATTTTAAGGCAGTGGATAACCCAAAGGATTTAACACTAATTTTTAATTACAGTGATTTACATTGTGATCTATGAAAATGGGGATGTTTCCACGAGTTTTCCAAACTTTCTCTCTCACACATGGATTTGACTTTCCTTTTGACAGAAAAAAATTTACTAGCAGGTGATTTTATAGGTATGTGCTACCCAAATTATGTTATGTTTTTTCAGAATAGGTAAAATTGTCAGGTTGGGAGTACTATTAATATGTATGTGTCCATATGTGTGTGTGATTGAACTCTGAGAGTCAGCTCGACCCAGCTTCTCAATCTGACTCTTTGCCTCCCCCTCCCGTGTGATAAAAATCACAGTTTTTGAATCAGGTAATGTGTATACCCCCAATCTTCACAAGCTGCCACCTTTGGGATTTAGGTGCTTGTGAGAAGGTTTGGGAGAATTACTGATAGCAATCAGAATCAGAAATGTACCTGCTCAGATTATTCATATAAACAATTGAAATAAAAACATTACATTATACATCAGATTAACAGCAACTCCCAGAACAAGGCTTACAGTGTATAAAAATAGCTACGTAAAAAATTTACATAAAAGGCAAACCAAAAAGAAATCCTCAGTGCAGACATTTACAGAAGAAAAAAAGCAAACCAAATACAACATATGACCTATTTTCATGGCTGCCCAAACTTCTTGTTATTGTTTGTAATTTCATTTCATTGTTTTACTTGAGATAATTCTCTGAATTCCTGTGACAGCTTGGTAGAATGAACTGCTTAATACTTGAACCATGAATTGCTGTCAATGTCTTTGTATATGTCTTAAATACAATCCACGTTCATGCTTCAATTGGTCTATATAGTTATTTTCTCTGAAATGATGAAAAAACCACAATTTAGATAGGTACCATAGCAATCATTTTTCACTATCAACAGATGCTTTGTACTAAAAGTGATAGGAATTACTTCACAGGAGACTTTTAGAAAACTCCAATGGCCCTGAACCCATCTGTAATCTCAGGCGATGTTCAAACACTTCTTTCGAGAACATTTTGGAATGATCGAGTCTTTTTTTTTTTTTTTTTTGTGAAAATTGGTTAACTTATGAAGATTATAAGGTTTTCAGGAAAATATTTCACTTTGTTTCTCTTCATGTTTAAAAATTCTCTTATCCCTTCAAATCACAATTTATTCTGTGGACATTGTCTTCAAGCTCAGTTTTCCTTTGAGAAGTTACTCTATCCAACTTTGAAGAAAAGAGAAGGTAAAATACATGTTTACAAAGGACTGAAGAATGAACCCAAAAGATGCAGGAAAAAACAAAACAAAACAAAAAACCATCAGGCAGGAAGGCTGCATGCTTGGCCGTCAGTGCAGGCAGGCTAAGGGAAGGAGCCCGTTCATACTTCTTTCAACCTATCATTCAGCTCTTGCAGATTGTAAAAATGGTTTACAATTGTTTTCCTCCATGCATTCTATCTTCTGTGTGGGATTAATTTGAGAAACCTAGTAAATCTGTGACTTAAGGTTTATTTATAATGAACCAAGATTTTACTGTGTTGGGTATTTTTATAACATAGGAGTAAATTACAGTAACAGTTTTTCTCAAGGACACACAGAATAATTTGTCCAAATGGCTTCTGTTTGGTTGGCTCAAGAGAACATAAATAAAAATGAAAAGTTCAAACTGCAAGTGGCAATACCATGAAAACATACCTCTTTGGAGACTATCTTAGAAATCACACGATAAAGCTATTACATTTAAATATTTGCAATATATATCTATAACTAATATACACATTACACAGACACATATAAAACATACACACACATACTCTGCATGTCAAATGCAAATATGTGTATTTGTGTGTGGATACACACACATATTTGTTAGTCTTTTTATTAAAATGACTTGAAATTTGGTAGTATAAACTGACATAGTATTTAATTCTTTGATTAAAATTTTCATATTTTAAAATTATTTTTATAATTTCTTCTAAAAATAAATTTAAAGTATTAGAATCAGCTCTTATCCAACAAAATATCAATCTGTAAAATTAAGCTAAACTTTTTGCATTAAATACAAAATGCTACTTGAATGTTAAAATCTCCAAGTTTGAGAAAATTATTCAGAGGATAGTGATTAATTTTCAGAAGATGGGGGAGGGCTATTGGTAATATATTCTTTTTATATCACCTTTCTGAGTTATCAAAGTTTATTTTTGAAAACCACTCTTCCTGTCTAGAAGTTTGCGGTTACGAAGCATCTCATGGCCAAGGCTTCCCTTTCATCTTCTAGGGCGTACACATCCTAGTAATTATTTCCATAAAGCTCCTATGGCATACCCACCTGGACAACTAGAACAGTTTCTCTCTTAGGCTTCTGTTTTGTGATTGTTTTCTTCTAACTTTTTATTTTCCTCCATATTACCAAGGTCCTTATTTACATGTTTTGATGCAGTCCTATAAGCGAATTAAATAAACAAATATTGTCACATATTTACATTTTTTTAATTCTAAGGTTTACAATTCACATCAATGTATCTTTGAGAAGCAAATGTTTTTCATCGAATACAAACTTTCATCGAATGCAAACTTCTTGGGTGAGGAAGTCAATGTGTGTGCACCTTGAGTAATAAATTTCAGTTGAAATTTTTTCATTTCAGTGAAATGACCTTGGTAGTGGTGTTGCACTCACTACTCAATGCTAAGAGAAAAAAAATCAACTATTTTGAACACAGACTAAGTATTTTGTTGCAACATGTATTTGATTGTTTTTCTCTGTACTTTCTGAGAGGTTATTATCATAACTTAAAAAAAGTTTCATTCTGGGCAAAAATTTTCTGAGGAAGTTTTTCACTGGGATCTTTCTCTTTGGCATCCAAATTAACTTATGCACACAAGTTGACACAATGCACTGTACTTTGTTTATGGATTCAGTTTTATTAAATAAATCAAAAGCAAGTTTAGAAATTCAAACTTATGACAAAACATTGCAACAGAAGCAAGAGCAGCCCTAATGTGGTGGTTCTTAAATTGTGGTCCCTGAACCAGCAGTATCAGCACCCCCTGGGAACTTGACAGAAGTGCAAATTCTGAAGCCTCACACAGAGCTATGAAAACAGAAACTCTGGAGATGGGATTGCAATCTATTTTAAACAAGACCTCCTGATGATTCTGCTGCATACTAATGTTTGAGATCTACAGCCCTGTAGTGGCTGCTGTGGTTACACATGACTGACTGGGTTCTACCTCTTAAGAGCTGACAACAGATTTTCTTAAGCACAAAGCTAAATTCCTTAGCTTTGTGACCACCCAGGAGAAATTATAACTCTTTTTCCAAGGGTGTACTATTTTCCTTCCTTCTTTCTTTCCACCCTCCCTAGCTCCTTGCCTCCCTCGCTGGAATAAGCACATTGGGGGACTACACCGGCAGGGTACTTCAAATTGTTATTCACATGTTCAATCCCTTGTAATTCTACTTTTAAGAATTTATGAAATACGAGGTATAACTCTTGGTTAAGAAAACTGGGATAGAAAATGCCGTTTTCCCCCTAAAAGTATTTATATGCTTTAAATAGAATTCCATAACTCATTTGCTAAGAATCACAACTTAACTAGAAAAAGGGTTGTAATGGTGTATGATCTACGTTGAAGTGAGATAAAGACATATGGCTCATTCAAACAGATACATTCATTATATTTAGCACAAGCTGAATTTACTTTGGATTTAAAAATTATAAATGTAGTATAAACTACAGCCTTCTAAATCTATTTATAAGGCAGCAGCAGTACAACCTAAAAACTCTGCCAACATGACTAAGCCCTATAATGTATGATTACAGTTTATTTATTATTTATTTATTTATTTTTTTTGTGAGATCCTCGCTGGAGGCCGGGGATCGAACCGGCGCTGCAGAGGCTGCAATGTCGCAGCCCAGCACTCAACCGCTGCGCCACCAGGAGAGGCCCTGATTACAGTTTAAAAGACATTAAAAAATGTAAATGAGACCATGTTGTAAGCTTGAGTTTTGAGTTGTTTTATATCTTGAGCTATATTATCACATAAATACTTTTATCTTGCACTAAAATGGTACATAATAGTGAATGACAACTTTATCATATATATATACCCCCCAGGAAAATCAAATAATGTAGATGGCATATTGATACAGATATCAATGTACATATAAATATAGAGAGGCACAGATAATAAATACATATATAACATATATAACACATGTAATATATAACAGATTATTTGAAGTTTACTCTCATTTGCTAATAAATTACTTAACTATTAATTAATGAAGTCTTAGCAACCTCAACAGTAAAATGTAAGGAGGGTGATAGATTAAATCATTTCTAAGGACATTTTTAATAGTTTGAACTTTATATAAATGTATGACTTTCAAATTACTTTTTTGAAGAATATCCATAAGATAAAGCATGCATCACAGAGTACAACTCAATGAATGTTAAAAAACTGAATACATGCATGTAGCTAGTACTGAGCTCAAGAAAGAAAAGTCTAATACCCTGAAGTTCCCCATTACACTCCAGTCATTACAACCTCCTAAAAGTTTATCATAATCTTCAATTCTCACAGAATAGTTTTACCCTTTCTTATAGTTAGCATATAAATGTAATCATACCAAATGTATTCATTTCTGTGTTTCTTTTATTTAAACTCAACCTTATGTTTGTATACACATTTGTGTATAATGTTGCATGAAGTTGCAGGTTGCTTATTCTCATCACTGCAGAGCTTGACATTGGGTGAATAAATCATGATTTTTTTAATCTATTTTATTGTCGATAGGCATTCTTGCTCTTTGTTTCTTCTGAGATTTCATTTATAAGTCAGATCTGCTGTATGTGTCCCACAAGTCTCTTATTTGTCATCTGTTTCCCTACTGTGCTTCAATCTGGATATCTTCTATTGATCTGTATTCTAATTTGCCTCTTTGTGCTTTACATGGCCAAGCTATGAAATTTATGCAGCAAATGTCAATCTGATTTCAAGACTTTTTACAGTCAGAAGCGCTGAGAGAATTCACCAGAGCCAGAGCGGGGAGCAGAGCAGGCAGAAGGACCGAAGTACACTGCTGAGGGGAGCAGCGGGCGGCAGGAGAGGTCTGCGCGCCATGTGGGACCCTCCTCCGGTGGCCGGGGAGCAGCCGGGGATCGAACTGGCGCTGCAGAGGCTGCGGGCAGCTTCGCCACCCAGCGCTCAACCGCTGCGCCACCGGGGAGGCCCCCTGATTTCAAGACATTTTAAAATACATTTCAATTCTCTTCAATTGAGAAAATTGATAACCCCCTAAAAAAATGGATGAACAAGAAAATGAAACAAATCTAAAGTAAAAATATTAGAAAACAAATAAGTGTTGTCATTACAGAACCTATAGGCAAAGAAGGATAAGGGGATCCCATATGGATAACTTTTCATAAAAATGTCAATGGCTTCCCTGGTGGCATTGGGGTTAAAGTCTCAGCGCTATCAAGCTATCACCAAGCCACTGCCACATGAATTCCATCCCCAGCCAGGGAGATAACCCACATGGTACAGCAGACCTCTCCTTTCTTGCCCACTGTTCCCCTCAGTTGTATATTTCAGTGGATATGCCTGTTCTGCTCCCCACTCTGTCTCTGGTGAATCCTCTCACCACCGGCACCTCTGGCCTACACCCCAGTTCTTGTATGCAGAAAGAAATGAAATAACTCTTAAAAAAAAAGTTAACGACTTAAGTGAAATAGCCATTTTCTCCTTGAAAATCTTACTAAAATGTATTGAAAGGGAAGCAAACTTACATCTATTAAAAAATAGAAATAACAGTTTTTATTTTAGCTAGTTCTCATAAAGAAAATTCCAGGTTTGGTGGTTTCATTTTTGAATTATAGTAAACACTGAAGGAAGTAAACACTTTCAGAAAAATATATGAGGATGGGACTCTTCAAATCGTTTTATTGAGTCCACATATCCCAAGTGCCAAAATTTGATGAGGATTTTGAAAGAAAGTAAATTATCAAATATTCCTCATGAAAATTATTAATAAAATGTTAATAACCTCACTGTTAGCAGTTTTTGAAAAATTTGAAAAATTCAAGACAGGATTGATAGTCAATAACTAATCAATATAATTTATAATTTTATCAGAATAAAGAATATATAAACACCTAGATTATTTATAGAATTAATGTAGATGCTTGTGGTCACACAGTTAGTAAATAGCAAATTCAGGATTCAAACTCCAGTTCCACATGCACGTACCAAGCTACACAGTTACACAAATACACTCGCTGTGAAAGGTACAAAATATAAGTGCATAGTATTGCTGATGGGGAAAGATAGCATCACTGATTTATGTATATAAGATTACCATGCATTTTATTATTCACTTTTTTTTTTAACAGAGAATATGTTCTAACAATTAAAACCTTTGAAATTAATTTGGATTACTTTTACTTGGCTTTTAGATTGATATGGTAAATATATATATATACACATATATATGTATATATATTTTTTATGATACATATATAATATCATATTGAATATGTGTCTTTATAATTTTGGAAAAAAAATCAGCAATTTGAAAGAATTGCTGAAGCTAAAAATCCATCTACTTCTGGAAGAGAATAAAACTTTTTTAAATCACTCTCTTTAGCTAAATGCTTTTCAATCATTGATTGAAAAAGATAAAAGATAAAAGGTCAAAAAGATAAACACATGCAATTTGCAGCAACATGGATGGTGCTGGAAGGGATCATGCTCAGTGAAATAAGCCAGAAAGAAAAAGAAAAATACCGGATGGTCTCACTCATAGCAGGAATCTAGAAAACTTAAATAAGGGACCAGGAAAATGAATAACTATAAGAAAGTGAAAATCAAAATCAACAAAAAACTATGAACCAGAGACACTTTTTGGGGGATGGGGGAAGGGAGGGGAGGGATTGGGGTCAGAATGGGGGGGTTGCAATTATATGGGGAATATAAAAATAAAATTTATTATTCAAAAAAAAAAAAAGAATGACTGCTTCCATTAAAATGTACATTCTTACAGTATTTGTCTAAAGCTTTCTTCATCAGTGGATTTTTTAAAGTAAGTGTTTAAGTATCACAATAAATGAATGTTGGAAGAAGTCCGACAGGTGGCCATCTAGTTTTACCTGTGAGGGAGACAGGAGAGTTTTGGCCTTGCGGCCAGTGGGCCCGGGATCTCATCTGTTTGTCAAATGACAACTGCCAAGTCTTTGGACAAATCTCTGCTCTGGAGCAAATTTGCTTATTTATAATTCAGAAGAAGACCATGATTCACTCACAGGGCTGATTTTAGGATAAATGTGATTGAAAATAGGGATTCACCAAATTGAATGTAATTATACTGCTGCCGCTGAAGGCCATGTAGTCAATGAAGAAAGTTCAGAAGGGGGTTCAAATCTAGGTTTAAACTCCTCAT